GGGGGAGGGAGAGGGGGAAGGTTGCTGAGGGATCCGCATGCACAGATGCATACACAAACACACCACCCACGTGCATGGGCAAGATGGAATAGTGAGAATGCAACCCACCTCTTGGTGTATTTATGGAAATCCCAGTGGATGTACGTCAAATGCCGTTCCGCTGGCAAGTTCTGATTGAGATAACCCACTGCATTACAATACTCCCTACGAAGGATCATTTCCCTTGGTCGCTTTTCAAACGTCTGCCTCGTTCACCAGGATTGCCCCAAAACAAAAACCACTGAATCATCAATAAACATTCATGGGCACATTTGCCTGCAAGTCAACAATTTCACCAGCGAATTCCACTGGTCAAACTTCGGACCAGCTTCACCATGTCGCATACCCATGCAGACCAGAACCAAGAACCGACCTCTCGTAGATAGAGCAATATAGCACAGCGGAAGACTGGAATACCAATGATCAGACCCAATCAATGTCGAAATGCAGACTGGACATACATCATCATCATCACACAGTGTGAATGGCCTGGCGCCACACACAAGGACGAAGGCGCTAGGCACAGTCCATACACAGATGAGGAGGAGGGGGAAGAGATGAAGAAAGGGGGGGCGGATATGAGAATGTTGTCAACCCGAATGTCGCTGATATCAATCCCAAAACAGCCCCCCACAACGTCTGTGTCCAATGTCGAGTCCGGATCCCAATGTCGCCAATCCCTCTCTCTGTTACCATCCTGGCTAATTTTGAAGTACACATCATCAGAAAGTACAATGCCGTCCAATTGCAAGAAGAAATGAATGAACTTGAGAGGAGAGAGAGGGAAAGAAGAAGAAGAAGAAGAAGAAGAAGAAGAAGAAGAAGAAGAAGAAGAAAGAAAGAAGACGAAGACGAAGACAAAGACGAAGACGAAGACGAAGAAAGAAAGAAGAAGAAGATGTACTCCGGCATAGACCAATGACAATGCTCTTCTTCTTCGCGAACCACTCTCCTTCTCCTTATCTCCTCCCCTCTTATTCAAACAAGATATAACAATAATAATGTTGAATAGTTGAACCAGAATAAACGTCCGAATCCCTCTTCTACTGCAGGCACAACATAAGGTCCACCATAGCCATGGCCACCGTTCCTCTTCCTCTTCATGTAGGCCGAGGCTAAGGCGGACTACTGAGGGCGCCACCCTCTTGTCCAAAGGACAACCCCAAGCAGCTATATTGCTGCCCGCCTGTGCAAAGGACAACACAACGCAGCTATGCCGCTGCTCACTAAGCCGCCACGCCTGACTCTACCCCGAGCTTCCTTGGTGAGGCACTACCCCAACTGGGGCCTTCCAAATGCAGCGCTTAACAAGGTGATGAAGATGGTGTCCACCACAGCTAGGTAGGTACCTCGCCACTCTCTTCCTTGGTCCTCTTCTCCCTCCTCCTCCTACTGGTAGAGCTCCACCATAGCCAAGGTGGAAGCTCTCGGGCTTCTTCCTCCCAACAGCGCTGTAGTTGTCAGCGCTCCTCTTGCCAGTGCTCCAGCAGTGTGTGGCCAAACTTGCACACTTAAGAATGAGGCTGGGCTCTTCGCTCAGCCTCCAGATATAGCGGCCTACTTGCCTCCTGGGCGGTGACTTCCGAGCCGCTCGGCTCCCAAGCAACCGGTACCTCCTCCCTTTCGAAGGGAAACAACATTGCAAACTAGATGGACTGGTACCCGCCTAGACCTAGCCTACCGCTAATGGGCCTCTAAAAATGCGAGCTTTGTCTTCTTCTGCTCGGCCTCAAGTACCCGGCGCTCTCGCTAAGCCACTTGAGTGTTTTCACTGCTGCAACCCTCGATATCACGGCCACAAGCAAGTACCGGCCCTACGGGCCCTCCCAAACAAGCAAGTACTCTTGCGGGTCACACACACACACTCACGCCGACACGCCGACAAGTACCCTTGCGTTTAAGTTCAAAATCATACACATCAATCTCATGCAGCCAGCGGGTCAATATAGTTGATGGATTAATTCGTGTCTCGATCCATTTCAAAGTCTCGTGGTCTAAGAACCTTTTGAAATGGCGACCCAAGAGAGAGTGTTTCCAATGATATAATGCCTCGCTGAAGGCATAGAGTTCTCGCATGTAGGTGGAGGCAGCTACCTTGTGAGGGCATGTGTTTGCTGTAGTACTCGAGCGGACACAAGTTGTCACCATCATCTTGCTGCAGCACTACGCCGATCTCGTACAAGCTTGCATCCGTAGTGACTACGAATGTAAGTTTGGGATATGCAATGCGGAGCACCGGATGACTCACCAGGGCCTCCACATCCCACGTGTAGGGCGCGTTCTTGCTTGTCAATTTGGACAGCGGGCGGGCGATGATAGAGAATTTGGACACAAACTTACGGGAGTATGACGCGAGACCAAGAAAAGAACGCAACTCTCATACATTTGTCGGTTGAGGCCATTTGCGGATGACCTCAACTTTGGTTGCCTCGGGCTCTAGGCCTGCAGGAGACAACCGATGTCCAAGGCAGATGACGATGTCCCTCCCAAACTCAAATTTCTTCAAGTTGAGATGGAGCTGCGCATCCTTGAGGATATGAAACACTTCCTGAAGATTAGTATGTCATCCAAATAAACAACAACAAATCGATTGATCTGACTGCGGAACACCTTGTCCATGAAACTTTGGAAGGTGGTCGGCGCTTTCGTGAGGCCGAAGGGCATGACGGTAAATTTGCACAGCCCATCGCGAGTTTTGAATGCAATTTTGTGCTGGTCTGCGGGGTCGACTTCATTCTTGTGGTAACCAGACTTTAGATCGATCTTGTTGAAGACCTTGCATCCTCCTGCAGCATCAAGTAAATCATCAATGCGGGGCAAAGGGTATGCATTCTTTCTTGTTATTCTATTCAGCCCGCGGTAATCAATACACATCCATAGCTTGCCTCCTTTCTTAGGGACAAACAAAATTGGTACACCGAATTCGGATTCGCTTAGCTTGATCCAACCTTTTTCAAGCATGTCATCGGTCTACCTTCGCAACTCCTGCAATTCACCTGAGCCCATTCGATAAACACAACCCTTTGGGGGAGTGCTACCTTCTATCAACTCGATCTTGTGTCGAACCAAACGCACGGGAACTCCATGTGGTTCGACCAAAACTTCAGGAAAAATCGATTGAGGAGACTGCGGATTTCTGATGGGATCTCCGGCGGTGGATCATCAGAATTTGGTGCCAACATACCAAATTGCATAGGTGTAGCCAAAACAACAGGATTTGAACCAGAGTTGTTTGGACTAGAAGTAGATTTAGTAGAGGTAGAAGTAGTTGCATTAGAAGTAGAAATGACATCCAAAGTAGAATCATTATGAACAACAAAAATAGAAGGCACATGAGCAGGCCTAACAAAGACTATATACACTTGCTCATCAACTTTGCGCCTGCGCCACTTTTTGCAGAATTTCATTGCATTGAGAAAGGTCACTTGGGACTCGTGTGGCTCGTCCAAGAGGACTGGACGCTCGATCCCCATGGCAACTTTGACCATGAATTGTGAGTCCTTCCACGTGGTCCTTTCACATTGGGCCTGCAAACAGCCCAAGCCAATAACCGCGTCGAAGGGGCACTTATCAAGGACATATGCGTGATTGTGCAGTCTCCGCCAAAGGTAGTACGCACACCTTTGACTGCATGCGTAGATGTGGCAACCTCTTGGTTGCCCACTTGGGTCTGACAAGGATTCTGCAAAGTCACTTGCTTCATTCCCACGTGTGCCTTGCGAATGTCGTGTGGTGAGAAGTAGTTGGCGGTTGCGCCACAATCAGCCAACGCACGGATGTATCGGCAATTAATGCTGAGTTTGAAGAATATCGACTTTGTTTTCGCTTGCGCGCGTTCTTGCTTCATGTGAGGCCAGCGCAACAAGAGAGCATGGAAGTCGATTTCCTCCAACTCCACCCAAGGCTCCTTGTAGAGGATGTGCACTTTCTCAGCCATGGAATCAACATAGAGGTTTGTTGGGTAGGATCAGAATCCGGTGAAGGACCTGCTCTCCCATGTTCAACCTTTCCGTCTGTAGAGTGTGTTGATGATGTCCTAACCGCCTTTGCTGGTCTCCCTGCCGCAATTTGAAGCAATGTTGGATCGAGTGTCCCGGTTTGGTGCAATGCAGGCAACCCCCTTTCCCCCTTTCTTTATCATGTGTTTCCACTCACTTTCACTAATCCGAAGATCTACCTATGGTTTTGTGGCAAGATCCTCCGATTTGGGTGGAATCTTTGCTCCCTTAGGGAGGTGAATGATGTTAGTGTTGTTGTTCACTAAGTTCTTCGGCCCTTTACTTTTGAAGGCAGTCTTTTTAAAAGCATTCATTGATTCATCATCATCTACATAGTCGGACTCATGGGCTGACGAAGAGCAAGATGCCTCACAGTCTTGCTCTTGATCGTCACCAAGAGAAGGGTCCTCTCCGAAGGCCTCCTCGTCAAGCTCAAGTTGATTGTGCACTGCAAAACGGTTGCTGTCCGGAAACCGTTTGCTGCTGGTGGTCTTTTCGCCACCCGATTTACCCGGGAGGTCTGGTGCCTCCAGCTTGACTAAATCTTGCATGAGGGAAAGCCAATTTGTATATGCCGCGAGTCCGAGCGCCAGGCGATGTGTTACAGTAGAGGGAACCGTACCTTTGATCACATCCAAGCAAGACTGCGCAGTCATCTCCAAATCGGGAGTAGCAAAGAGTTTACTAACGTACTACTGCAGACTATGCATGGTGCCTGCCCACTTGTTGTGCTTGACGAGCAAGCTTGAGTCTAGCTTTAGCTGCAGCATGCAAATCGGCATATTGCTTAATCAAGAGATCCTCGAGTGTGGCTATTGGCGTAGCCTTCAACCATTTGTTAAGGTCTATTCTTTTATAGCCTGATTGTACAACTTGGACTTCTAAGAAACCTCTTACGACGGGTTCCACATTGGTCCCTGGGACCGACGAGTCGCGACGACTAAGTAACCGAGGGTGTCCCCACCACATCAGAGTAGGATTGCATAGAGCTCATCCAAGATATAATGTCGTCCTTTCCGTCATACTTTGACAAAATTTGTGCCGCCTTCCTGTCCACATAGGGAAAGTTGCAGCTAGGACCAGCGATTGTTGGGTCTGAATTTGGGGCCGCAACATTTCCATAATGCCCTGCACTGCCACTTGCCACTGCAGCAGCAGCAGCAACAGCGGGGTCTGGACCTGCTGCAGGTTCGGATAGGCTGTTG